CTTTCTAGAAATTAGGAAGCAAGTAATAGAAGTCTGCCAAAGAATTGGTGTTAAAACTATAATTTTAAATATTTTGTTAGTTATAGAAATATAAAATACCTGCCTGATGTTGGGTGCTCCGTGTTTAAAATATTAGAGATGTGTATCCTAGTCTTAAATGTCTTAAAATATTTGCTTTTATATATTATATATATATATGACTATGTATATATATATGAAACAACCTACCAATTTTAAAATGTCAATCTTCTTACTTGTAAAAGGAAGAGGAGGACCTGGAGAATTGTGGGAGCCTCTGTGAAACCGACTGGAAGAGAAATTGTTTGAGCAGTCGATTACAAATGCACTAACAAAAGAAGGCTGGTGGGTGCAACGTCCTTGCTTGATCTGTGTAGCAAGGGCAGTTCTGCAGAGGTCCTGGGTCCCCCGCGGGGAGGTGGGAGATCAAGTCAGGAGAACTTTGCTATATCTCTTCTCAACCCCACTCACCCTCCTTGCTTAAAAGTAGGGCTTCTATGTAAGAATTTGAAGAAATGCGTTCCGCAAATTTAATGGAAAATTTAAAAACAATTAATTTAAAGCATGATATTAGAGTGTTGATATACTGCTAATAGTGATATAATGGAATATTTTGAATGGACAGGTAAAACCATATTTATGCTGATAATTAAAATAAAAGCTAAAATTGAAGAGCATTTAGGATTGTTTTGACAGCTTTTTAAAAATTAGACGATGCATATATTAAACCAGAGGAATATGAAGATGTACACGGATACTTGTGTGGCTCTGCTGAAGAGATCTGGGCATTTCTGAGGACTTTGCGTTTATGGCACTGGTTCTTTCACGTGCTTAGCTTTTGGCCTTGGACTATCTACTCCTTGATCTTGATTATTTATACTGTTTTTATAATTGCAGCTATGATCAGAATCTTTTGTTGTTGTGTTGTTCCCAATTGAACATGAGAAAGAGGAAAGGAAGCCAAATGATGTTTCTAAGATTATTACATTGTTGGGGGAAGGAAGGAGATAAATGGCTTTTTGAGATTATGCATTTTTTGATGAGACCTGTTCAACATGGAATTAGCTGAGTTATAAGAGATGGAAATGGGACTAGGCTGGAGCGCAAAGGAGCATTGGATTACAGACCCATCCTGCAGCCCCCATGGAGGGAATAAAGCAAGTAGGGGATTCTGGATCAGTTCTTCTGGCAGGGCCACAGATGGTGCTTCTGGCTTAGGCTATCTCGGTATCCCGGGATGCTATTTCAGAAACAGCTTTCTCACGGGGAGGGCAGGTCTACGTAGCTTTTAGGTGCACAAATTTAATTTCATCTTGCACAGAATGACCAATTTAAATAAGTGATATTTCAGGTTCTCTTGTGACTGGTGTACCTTCCTTTATTTAGTTTGTTTTTAGTTATGTTTTGCTGTTGATCTGCTTAGTTCTGCTTATTCTTCCTCTGAGCATTCTTTCTAGCCTGGATCTAGAGCATGGCAAAATAAAGGCTCAAGTTTTTAGCAGTGGTGCCTAGTAAGATTTTACTATTAAAAAATCTTTATTCTTGGTGTATCTTAGTCTATGGTATACTGGGAAAGTAATCCAAAAAACTGAAACCATTGCTTAGGCACTTGATTGAAAGATGAAATGGAATTAAGGAACTCAAGTCATAGACATGAGCAACTTATTCAAATTACTTCAGAAAAAAGCATTTGCTATATGAATACTGTACATTGAACTGGAAACGAAAGCCATCAAGAACTGATGCATGAAGCAGCTTCAGGGATGGGCTGGCTCTTTTGAGGCTAAAAGGTCTCTCTGATTATGACTTTGCTTTGCTCTGTGTATCAGGTACTGTTTTCCTCTCTGCAACAGCTGCTTTTTCTCAGCTTGCTGGTAGTTTCTGCTTCCTCATTTTTTCAGCTTGCCTTTGGTCACCATTGTCTATTATGCTCTTTACCTCCTGATGTTTCATCTAACTCCCATTACAAATTGATTCTCTCAATTTATCCTAGTCCAGATTCCTAAGAGAGGACTTCTTGAATAAACTATGTTAATGCATTATGAAACTTTACAGCTGTGAAAAGGGGAGTGGTAGATGCACTGATATATTGGAACCAGACTGAACTCTTTGTTCAGTGACATCACCTTGGTAGCTTGGTATTGGCCACCATAGCGGAAGTATCGCAGCATGGAAATTGGCAGATGTCACAAACCAGAGAAGTCTCTCACGGCCTTTCTTCTTCCCTTCAAGAACCAGTTGCTAAACCTTTATTGGCAGGTTACTGAGGAGATTTGTAGGTGTTGTTAAGCAAAAGAGAGTAAGATGCTGAAGTACTTATAGAATGAGTCTAGTTTTTGAATAGAAAAGGGGGTTTAGATATATGTGTGTGCGCATACATACATGCAGATTCTTGTATGGTGTGGAGAGTATTTTTGGTAGGTAACAGTGGCGCTTCTAGGAAAGAGGCTTACGTTTGGAGGGAGGTGTGTGTATGTGTGCAGATCAGAGTTTAGTTTTAGATACTTTGTTGATTATGAACATTAAAAGCCAATGAAATTTTTACATAATCATCATAATGTCAGTGTCATTTATTTCAGTCTCAAATACTATGATGAGTTATGTAGGAAGGAAATATAATCCTAATGTTGAAAGTGTCAAGGTCAAATGAATTCACTTTTCCCATATGCTGCCAAATTCACAGCCATGCTTCTTTGTCTGTTACTTCATATTGGACTGAATTCTGTCACTCCCTGCTTTGCTCGTTCTGAGATTTCTAATAGTCCTCTAACCCTCTTTTTGGTGTCTTTTATATGTATGCTTTTACTGTGTTGCTAACAATATCCATGGTCTTATTTGTTGCTTAGACTCTGTTTTCTTATTGAAGATACCTTGTATTTCTTATTCTTATGTAAGCTGGTTGCTCTCTAGGCAGCTGCAGAGTTAGCATCTTGAAATGTCTAATTTTAGCTTCCTGAGATTTCATGGATCCTGTGTCTGCCTCTCTTTTTGATTCTGTTGAAGAAAAAATTATTCTGACACTTGTTAAAACAGTAAAGAAGACTTTATCCAGAACTATTGCAATAGGTACTAAGACTGTCATGACAGGGAAGAGAGATCAGGCTCAATGCCAAATACAAATAAGGACACGTGGGGATGGATTCCTAGCCAACTAGTGGAGTAAGGAATTCGGTGGATGCACAGTTACTGAGAGGAGACGTCAAGGGTAGGGGGATTCTTGCTAAACTGACTTAACAGGATTCTTGGTAAAGGCAGGCCAGGATGATCAGATATCACAGGTGCGGGCTGGGGAACTCTTGCTCAACTGACTTAGCAGGATTCTTGCTACAGCTGGATTAGGCAGGTGAGGGATGCGAGGCCAAGGTCAAGGCCTAGCTGAGAAGAGTCGCTGTGGAGCCTGACTAACTTTGGACACTAGAGCGTCTTTGTCGATTCTTTTGGTTGTTCTTTTGTTTTTCTGTAATATATGCTCAAATTCTTTCTAAAAGAAACATCGCAAGGCAATGAACTTTGAACCCTTGTATTAGTTTCTTATTGCTGCTGTAACAAATTATCACAAACTTGCTGGCTTGAAACAACATAAATTTTTCTTACAGTTCTGGAGGCCAGAAGTCTGAAATAACTTTCACTGGGGTAAAGTCAGGGCGTCAGCAGGGCTTGGAGCCAGTAGAGGAGAATCCATTTCCTTGCCTTTTCTAACTTCTGGAGGGGCCTCCTGCTTTCCTTGGCTCAGACTCCTTCCTTTCTCACATCATTGCAACCTCTTTTGTCCATCATCCCATCTCCTATTTCTTTCTTTGACCTAATTGTCTCCCTGTTATAAAGTACCTTGCGATTACATTGGGCCTATCTGCATGGTCCAGGATAATCTCTCCATCTCCTTACTCAATTACATCTGCAGATCCCTTTTGCCATATAAGGTACATTTACAGGTTTCAGAGATTCGGATGTGGATATTTTGGGGAGGGTCATTCTTCAGGTCACCAACCTTTTAATATCTAAAAATGTTTTTATTTTTTCCTTATGCTTAATTGATAGTTCGGGTTGGTATAGAATTCTAAGTTAATGATTTTTTTTTTTCTCAGAACTTTGAAAATAGTGCTTCGTTATCTTCTAGCTGATAAGAAGCTTGATGCCCGTCTGATTCTCACTCCTTGGTGTATGACTTGACATTTTCCCCTTTTTCTAAGCTTCTGAGACCTTTTGCTTCTATTGACTGTTACAACTGGCTTACGCTGGGCATGAACTTAATTTCTTAGTGTCCAGTTAAGTATAATTAATGTTCATAAGCATGCCTCTAACATGGCTGATACTTTTGCAAAGTGGTTTCCAAATTGTAGGTCCTGACCCATTTCAAAGAAAGGAGAAAGCGATGAAAGGGGAAAGAATAAGTAGAATGGAATAGAAATTTTCACAGTGCCATCCTACGGTAGCTGTACATATTGTTATAAAAAACATTTGTTTCACTTTTATACGTGTGGTGTGTTAAAAATTTCCAAAACCTTCCGGAATTTAACATGTATTTGCATAGTGTCTGAAACAGGAGCAGTTTTCACAATAAAAATTTTCATTAAGATTCTGTTAAGATATAAACTATATTTGAGGAGAAGAACATTCCTATTTAGCTTTAGTTTAATGTTTTACGTAAAAACTTTCTTTGTTGCTCCATGACAAGTTTTATTAAAAGCCATAGAATGTGGCTAATTTTGAAGTACAAGATTAAGGCATATTCTGAAGCCGCTTGTTTAAAGCCCTGTTTGTTATGAGATGGAATGCTGGGTGTAGGCTGGTGTGGTTCATACTTGGGATGTAGCATGAAAGACATGTTTTTACCCTCAACAAATATCATCTTTGTTTGAATATCTGTAGTCTGTGTAACCACAGCAAGGTCTTTTTTTCCCCTTAGAATGCATCTCAAACTTCTTTCTTGTGCTTGTTTCACACAGTTTAAAGTAGAGCTGCCGTCCGCTTTTCTGTTTCAGTTTGTTGCAGAATGTGTGAGTTACCACCTGACACCCTTGGTGTGCTTGAGAACTCTAAAATAATAACGAAATCTTGGAATAGATAAATTTACTGTATGAGGACTGAAGCTGTTGTTAATTCCCAAGGCCAGACTGGCTATCTAACAAAGGGTAACGTACTTTTTAAATTGAAATTGTCGATTTATATATATTTAACATTCATCTTTCAAAATGTACTCTAGGAAAAATGGTCTGCTTTCAATTTTGTTTTATTGGATTGAATTTGAAATTTAATAACTAAATGAATCATTCATTAGAATTTGAGGTTTAACTTAGTGGATAAGTTACAATGCCTGCTTTTAAAAAATGTAATTCAGAAGGATACTTGATTTTTAAAAGTTCTTGGGTTTAAATGGAATTAGAGGTCTTAAATGTTATAGTTGTTAGTTTTTCAAACGCTTCTTAAAATGCTATAGCTTCCATAAATTTTTGTCCAGAGATGTCTTCTTGTATACTAGAGTGTTTATTTAATCCAAACGTCTTTTTATCCTTACTGCTTAAAATATGCCTCTTTTACTTTGAAACCATGTGATAGTGGCTGTAAAGTCAATAAAAATAATTTGATTTAATTTGGCTTGAATAATGTAGTAGGTTTTTAAAATTTGATAATGACATGTGATGTAAGTACTAAGTAACACAGCTTTCCTTGTTTGATAGGTGTCTGGGACTCTGCACACTTGAAACAGACACAAGACAGCTGTTGATAGCCCTGTGGTCAATGTTTTAGGGCAAGCTCTTTGTTCTTGCAATGGAATTTCTAAATAAGCTATCAGAATGAAACCAAAGGGAGTATTTGAGTGTAATTCTTAACCAAGTTCTCAACTGGAGATCAGGCATTCTGAAACTTAATTTAACTATTCTAAATTCTGCTTAAAGATACTGCTTCTTACTCTAAAGGTGATTGTCTCACAATATGGGTTATTGAATGACATCTCTAAACTCAGTGTTGAGAAAGATTGATATTTACATTTAGTCTCTTCAAAGAAGCAGGTTTGGCTATATTTTATAAAATTAGTTTGACTTTAAATTTACTCTCTTTTTAGAATATATTCATTAATATTACAAAATTTTCTCCCCATGAGAGAGTACAAGGATAAAGAATTCCTAAAATAATTTAAAGATATAGAACATTTATTTGTTTTAGAGTCAACTCTTCCAATCATATTAAAGTACATCACCTGTCTTCCATAAAGTTAGGATACAATTTCATCCAGTTTCAGTACGACCTCTGTTAGTTAGGATTTCTTTTCTGGATATCTCTAGACTATAGATGATTCATGTAAAGCTTTATATCTATCTTGTAGTTTGTCACAATGATGTTTTCTTGGGTTACTTTGCATCTTCACTTTCCAGCTCCATACCATTTCCATTTCTTGCCTTTGTACTTTTAAACATTTTGTTGTTAAGTTGGAAATATAGTTGAGACTCCTACAACTGGTAGCAGAGATAAAGGACTGGTATAAAATATGTTCAAAGAAAACACTCATCCATTGAATTTGGCCTAATCACCATAGAAATTCATGCTTAGCTGTTTCGATAATGGAAATAGAACTTAATGAATAGTCAAGTTTCCTAGCTTGATATTAATTTATTGACTTGCTT